TTTTTTTTAACTTTAATTCTAACTATTACTTTATGTCACTCAATTGATCAAACTCTAATCATTTCTATGACGATGCAAAACTACTTCAACGTCTATGAAAAAGTTATCTTTTTAGGTTTTTACAAAAACAAGAGTTTTTTTCTTTGAAGATCAATTTTATTTATTTTCCTATAATTTAATTACATTGTTATTTTTATTCTTTTAAACAAATATATGTATGGCACAACACGATAAAATAATAATTCATTTAGAGTTTAATGAATTTATTTAAAAATGAATTAGATTTTATCAAGTTTTTCTGAGTATCTCATGAATAGTCTCATATCTCTAAAAAAAAATAAAACAGAGAAAAAGTTTATTTTATTGCTACATTTTTCTTTTGTTCAATAAGAATTGTAATTAGAGATCTGCGCAACCACAATTTTTGGTAACAGTCACGAAGACTTCTCCGATTTTAGTTACGATCACACTGATAAAGCTTTTAAAAAATTTTTTCTTAACTAGTATCGCCAAAAATGGCTACAGTTCATCAATTAGCCACGATTTTTTGGCAAAAACTGTACAAATTTCACAAAAAACCTTTGATTTTTGCGTGATTTTGGTCTTGACCATAGTCATGATCACGAAAGACCTGATTACGGTCACGAAGATTTTCTAAATCTGGTCATGGTAACGTTCACGCGTGACCATGATCTTTATCGGAACCACTTTGCAGGTTTCTAATTATAATTTATATATGAATATTTAAAATAAAATCAATACTCACATACTGTGTAATATATAAAAGCCATTCAAATTGATCAGCAAGAAAATATTTGAGTTGAACAGGCATTGAAATAAGACGAGCAAATACTTTTATACGTATTTTATCTGGATCTGTTAATGGATAATTTGGATCTAGAAATAAAATCGTGTTTCTTCTATAAATGATAAAAGAATATTATTTCAAACAGCAATAGAAACAATGATTAATTGTTTCGTAAAAGGAACAAAAACATAACTTAACTCGTACTTGGATCGTGTTCAAATCTTTTCAACTACCGTTAAAATGGTTAACAATGAAAAAGTTACTAATTATCGAGCAGCGGCTCATTGGTACCTATTGGATTGGTCTCAGATCTGAGCACGACTAGTACGATCCGAACATATTGAACCGCTTCGCTTGAATAACGTTAGAGGTAAAAAATGCCGAAGATAAAAGCATCGAAATATAAATATGTCAAAGATATCAATCAGAGATGGAATTGATTGGCATTTTTTCCAAACCGAACCGATCTCATCTCTGATATAAATGTCAAATATAAAAATATTGAAAAGAATATATCGAAAAGGCATGCAATGGTGGCTAAGAAGGATCGGGATTGATGGAGAGAGCTATGCGTAAGGTATCCAGTTCGACGGTTCAATGAAAAGCGGAACTGAAAACTGAACCAAAACTGACATTTTTTAGCTTCTTGGAACCAGAACTGGAAAAGTCATTCAAGAACCGCTAAGAGAACCGAAGCTAAATTATTTTTAAGTATTATCTGTTTTGAAAGAAGTATATTTTGAAAATGTAATTTTGTCAACGATTTTCTTATTGTTTTACTCTCTTATACGTTTTGAACAATATACTTCTTCAATAAACATTATGCTTTTCTTATATCAAGAATAAAACAATTTAAATTTCTCAAAAATATTTTGTATTTATGGAATACTTTAACAGTTCCGACGTCAAGTGATGTTGTGTAAACTGAACTGGAACCGCCCGTTTCTCGTTTTTTCTACCTGAAACCGAACTGAAATTACGGCTCCGATTCCAGGTAAATTTTGAAACTATCGAACTCTGGTGAGATGTGTAATTGTTAGTGTAGGTAAACAGAAATCATTCATAACCACACTTATATACAGTCACGTCTATACTCGTATATACCCTCTCTTACATCTACATCCACGCCTACGCTCTCACAATATCAAAATTTAAGAAAAACTAGACTTCTTAAATATCATTTGATGCATCGCAAGTTACTCTGCAAAAGCACATATATGATGTCATGATTTAAGATAGATAACAAAATCCAGCAAAGTCCTTTGCTTATTTACAATAAAAACAGTTAAATTATGTTTTATATTTTAATTTCATAAGATTCTATTAACATCTATTTTGTACAGATAAATAATTTAATTATCAATTTATTGCTTGTCTAAATGATATTTTGATTAAACTGAAATGTTTCAATATATTGGAAAGTTTATTTGTAAATTTAACCAATCGTTTGAATCATTTCAAATGAAAATAGTTTCTATTTGAAGAGAGATTCAGTGTCATGTTGGAAAGAGAACATTTATATATGATTCTTTATTTTTTAATTCAAGACAATTTTCTATTATGAATTTGATGGTTCAAGTCTAGGACTCATATAACCGGGATGACCATAAAAGAAAAGATCTAATTTATATTTTATCAATTTTCCGAGAAAAGGACAATGTATACATACTGTAAAAATGACTAAAAGAATGTCCTAATTGAATTCTTGTAACATTTCGCAATCGAATATCATCTTGATTGAACTGTCTACTTTGAAATGATACTGGCCACAATGTTAAGATCTTTGACTTGACATTGTAAATTTCTATAAAAAGAAAGAATAAATTTATTCATTTAAATAAATTCTATCTAATATTTGTTTTGAGTTTTTCGACAAATAGGGATGAGAAATTCTATAATTTTTTCTCATCTATTCATTAAATATAATTCTATTCAGAAAAAAATCTTCTTTTTCTGGAACATTTTCTTGATGAAAAGATAATACTTTCTTGTCAAGTATCGCTTAATCAATATATACTTGAATTCACTCGTCTATCCTTTCTAACCGTCGTTCTACTCTATGAAATAATCAATCGATAGTGCTAAATGCCGAATCTATATAACATCACTTTAATTTATTCAAGTAAGTTATCCAACATGAAAAATATAAATGTCTTTTCAAAATATTTATTAGAGTCCTTCAAATCTGTTCGATACCCGAATCGATATGGCTCGAACATGAATTCAGGTAGAAACTCATTAGATTCATTCAAGTTGGAATATGATCTCATATTCAGCAATTAAAGACATCTGATTGAAGTATTATTCTACCACTTTTTGAAGTTAATATTTGTGTAGAAGAATAAAAGCCTGAAGCTGTTTGAATCTTAATGGTTTTAAATAATTATGCGAAAATAACTCATGCCAAATTAAGAAACGACCTTTCAATATTTATAATTATGACGAAATGAATGCAAAAAATAATTGAACCAATAATAAAGAAAATTAATTATCTCGATGAGAGACATTTTTTTATTATAATGAGAAATAAAACGGTTATGTACATATAAACAACTATAACATTTCTTGTCATTGCTTTTAAATTCATTGTTATTGTGTCGATATTGGCTACTTCTTCCATATGGAGAAGATTGAGTTAATTAATGGTAAGAAAAAAATAATTGGTAAATTTTATGTTGCAAAATCAAATTAATTTTTTCCGAAAGGTCTAATTGAGAAACTTCTCCTGGAAAAACATATTATCTTCTAGTTGTAAATTTTTCCTTTAATTTATAAAAGAAAATCGATAAAATATCCCTTGGAAGGAATATATATTATCGTCTGTAATTAATAATAAGAAAATGAAAATATATATTTATTGATATTAACACATCTTTAAGATCAATAAGAAAATAATTGAACTTTGAACAACTTGATTCACTTTTTCTTAAAAACAAGTTCAAATTATCTATTTTGATACAGCTAACTAATCTTGGCTACAATTAGAATATTAAAAAAAAATACTTGCTTGATGTGGTTTGACGTATGAAAAGTTGTATCCATAAAGGACTCCATTGTCCATCCGCATCTACTTTGAGCCGTACTAATTTACTTCAATAGAAAAATTTAACACAAATAACTATTTTTGAAAAATGAAATCAAATAAGTAAGTTTTCAAAAAGTAAACTTATTTGAAATGTTAGATCAAAGCAAATTGAACTAGATATCGTGCAAAGATTAGACCTACGAAGTTCCATGTCAGTTCCGATCTTGAGAACTAATCCAACAGTTCTTTTGATAGGAACTGATCTATGTCAATAGTTCATTCAAAAAGAACTGCTGCCACTGGAATCTCATTTTAATCCGCCCATTAGATCTGTAATTGCTTCATGCTGTGCATATTTCTCAACTTAACACATATGCTGGAATAGAGCTAACGAAAACTTAATGTTTTGATAGAGGAGCTTGATTTTCAAAAAACGAAATAATCGCTAGGCTCAGTTCTTTTTCAAGAAATGCTCACAACACAAAATTCTTTTTTAGGAACTGTTCATCGGATTTAGTTCGCAAAAAAGAATCGGGTTCATTTAACTGAGAGCTGTCGTAGGTCTAACAAAGATATTTGTATTTCTTATGTTTGGTTGTTTCAACGAAGTGATGAAAAATGAAGTTTTATAGTTGGAAAACTAGAACTCTATTAACTAGCTAGCTATACTTTCCAGAAAAATGATTTTTCAGGATAAAGAGTCTATACATATTTGTGAAAAGGGAATAGCTAGTTTGAAGATGTGAAAAATTACTTAGAGACCTCAGAAGATATGAGCATACTTTGTGAGACTTAATCGATTTCAAGAACTATTTGGAGACTTTAAAAAACACCATGACTGCTTCATAAAATATTTAAAGAAATAACGTCACGATTTCAAAGAACTTTCTAAGATTCGAAGCTGAGGTTTTCACGATTTTCTTCTCAAATATTTATTGGATGTAATCACTTTTTTAGAAAATTGCTTTTTGATCATCAAATTCATTAATGCTAAATTACCAACACAGAGTCAGTGTTTACGACTGATTGATGATGGATTTGTGGCATATAATGCATTTATCTTGGAAAGAAAAAATTGTGACTTGATCACTAAATATAATTATTACGAAACAGGTAATCTATGTTGCGGGTGTGGACGAGAATGAAAATTCCTATGAGGGATAGGTCTAATGCTGACGGCGTAAATGAGGAGGGAGAGAGATGACCTATCTTGTTATCTGCCTATGTGACTATGGCAGTTTAATCATGGCTCGAAGTAATAAAAAAATTGGAACATTAATATTGTCATGAATTGTTCTCCATAATGTGCCTCTGGTGCATATTTTTATTGTTTCGTGTTAGGATATTTTTTTTTCATGTTATTTTATGTAACTCAAGCCTCTTTTTTATGTACTTATTGCTTCTCCTAATAGTAGTAGATTTTGTGATCATTTCACAAAGGAAGATTTGGGTGATCAAAACTATGCATACCCAAATTTTGTGAAGATCATTGAAAAAAGTATCAAACAATTGTTTACCTGTAGGAATTTTCATAGACGAGACCTTAGGGTATAGTTCATCAAATTGTTTGAGAAATAAATCCAGAGACGGATCAAAATTAATCTCAATTTGTCGAGTATTTGACAAATCATATGATACAAATTGATTATTACTGAATAAACAAGAAAATAATTAGAAATAAGTTTCTATAATAAAAATGTCTTACAATAGACGATGAAAGTGTTGAAATTTATTAAGATTAGAAGAGAAAAGATGTTGATATGATTCACTTTCATCATAAACACATTTCACATTCGTCCATTGATGATCAATAAAAAATGAATTGATTTTAAATGAATTGACTATTTTTTCAACATCATTCAATGATAAGTTACATTTAACTCGAATATAAAAACGAAAATCATCCAAGTTAATTATTTTATCTGGTAAACAATATTGACGAATAAAATTTGCATCAATAAAAGATCTGCATATCATTTGATCTGTTCTCCCAATTTCATAAAGATATAAATAAATTTCAAGCTTTTTAACATAATTAACATTGTTAAGGAGCCATTTTAAATAACTGAATTCGAAATCATTGGAAATAATACTCTTCAATGTAAACTCTTTCAATTTCGGTACCTATTTAACAAAGAATCAATTAAAATTTTAATTGCCAATCACAATAGAAACACAAATAGCTGACAATCTTTATGGTTCACACAGAGATGAATCTTTTAAAATTATTTTCAAAAAAATATTCTTGCGTGAGCTCTACATCAATAACTTTGAGTAATTATTTTAAGTTCTGACGACGGAATTTCCGACATCATCGAGTATATGCAGGGATGTGTCGAAGAGAAAAAGGATGAGACTCAAAGAAACTTTTGAACGGAAAATACGCATATGCAATGTTTTCAATGTAAGAGGTGCTGAACTTTCTTTTTTTTAAATAAGAAATACCATTTTTGGTTGAGAAAAACTGAAAATTCTCTAAAGGTGAACGATGTCATTTCCTCTTCCACGTGGGTACATCCCCGAGTATCACAGAGACTGGATAAAAAAAAAGATATTTGGTTTTTTGTTAATTTCGCGCATCGATGTCTGAAACTACTAAACCCTAAATTTCAGCTTCTGGTATTCTTCTGTTCAAAAATTAGCCAAGACCGCCATTTAGCACTCCCATGACTTCAATAAAAAAACACACTAATAGATGCTCTATAAAAATTGTGCCAGATTGCGTTTGAACGGATCTTTGAAAGTTTTCATGTTAAATATCAGAAGACAGAGCATTCAAAAACTGAACAAAACAAGCTATTTGGATACAACATAATGTCTAGCAGCTTAAGTTTTATAATAGCAAAATGAGTCAAAAACACCTCTCTTTTCATTATAAAATGTTCATCTTAGAACAATATATCTTCAACCGTGTTTCAGAATCAGAGAGGTCCCAAGCTGAATTCTATCTATGTTATGCAGATTTT